GGTCCCAGGGGTCATAGTGGGGGTCTCAGGGAGGTTCCAGCAGGGTCATGCTGGGGGGGTGTCAGAATACGGGGTCCCAGGAGCTCGGGGTGGAAGGGTCCAGGTGATCCAGGTGGGGCTTCCAGAGTGGTCCAAGTGGGTCCCAGGGGGACTGGGTGGAGGCCCAGGGGGGATCAGTCTGGGATCCTAGCAGGTCAAGGTTATGGGGTCAGCCAGACAGAGATGGGGGAACATGGGGGCAGGGGTGAGCCCTTCACCTCCTCCTGGTCCAGCATCTGTTGCTTGAGCTTCTCCATAATTTGGCTCTGCTGGTTGATCTCATCATCCTGCAGGGAGGACAGGAGGATCCATGCTGGCCAGCCCCCAGGGGCAGCCCCAAGGGGCTAAGGGCAGCAGCGGGAGATCTTGGGGGGTCCCAGAGCCTGCCAGGAGCTCCTGGAGGATGCTGAGAGATCTAGGAGGACCTCAAGGATCCTGGGTAGTCTCGGTGTCCTGGGACATCCCAGCAGGTCTAGAGGGGTCTTTGGGGCCCCTTCAGGAGACCCAGGGAGGGGTCTGGGGGATGCCCACCTTGTCATCCAGCTGCTTGTAGAGCTTGCGGATCTCCTCCTCGTACTTGCGGCGCTCCTCGTCAGAGATGTGGATGACGATGGAGGAGCTGTTGTTGAGGGGAGTCTCGCTGGTGGGTCCTGTCCCCGTCCCCTCACCTGTCACCTCGCCTGTACCAGCCTCCACCTCCGCCTCTGTCCCACTCAGCTGCTCTGTCTCGGGCACAGCCTCCCCTGGGGACACAGCCTCAGTTTCCCCATCTGGCTCTGGGGGAGATGAGGGGGGCGTGGGGCCTCTCCCGGACCTCCGAGGTCCCCCCCTCACCACTCCGCCAGCGGCTCAGCTCAGCCTCCAGCTTCCTGATGGTCTCCTTCAGTGCCTTGTTCTTCTCCTTCTCCTTCTCGTACTTCTTCTTCCACTGCTCAGCTGTCAGCTCCAGGTTCACCGATGCTGTGTTCTTGATGGTCTTGGCCCTGGATGTGGGGGGACACCCCTCAACCACGTCCCCCCCTGCTCCTCCTTTACAGGCAGCATCCCACAGGAACCCCAGAACAGTGACCTCCATCTCAGGGCCCACCTTCCCCTCATTCTCCTCCCAGGTCTGGGGATCCCTGAAGAGCTGCCTTTCCTCCCTGGGGAGTGCAGCTGGGATGTAATGGGTGCTGTTGGGGTGCAGCTGGGATGCAACTGGTACAAGGGGTGCAGCTGGACCGCACAGGGTGCTGACCGAGTGCAGCCAGGTGCAATGCGTGCTGGGGTGCGCTTGAGGCACAAGGGCCACACAGGGTGCACTTGGGGTGCAAAGGGTGCATGGGGCGCAGGGTGCAGTTGAGATGCAGCTGGGACACAAAAGGTGTGTGGGGTACAGTTGGGACCCAGCTGAGGCGCAGAGGGGTGCAGGGGCACCCCGACACCCCCGTCCCTCACCTCTGTCCGAACATGAGAGTGGACTTGGTCTCGGCATCGTTGTAGCTGGAGGGGGAGCAGCAGATGAACATGGTGGTGCGGCAGTTCCCCCCCAGCGAGTCCTGCAGGATCCGTGTCATCTTGCTGTCCCGGTAGGGCACGTAGGCCTTCTGCAGGGAGCGGGGGACTCAGCAGGACCCCTGCAGCCCCAGGGGCCGCGGGGCACAGCGAGGGGGCAGAGGGTCAGTGCAGGCAGACACGCGGGCTCTCACCGTGCCCTCAGCCAGGGCTGAGATGACGTTGCCCAGCGCCGACAGTGACTTGTTGATATTTTTGGCCTCGTCCAGTACGGCCCCCTCAGCCCCTGTCTTGCTGACCTGTAGGGGCAGACAGCTCAAGCCACCTCTGCTCCAGGGCCCTCCACCCTAGGGACACCCTCAGCCCAGGAACCACCACAAGGCCCCAAAACCCAAGGATGCCACTAGCCAGTAGACACCCAGAGACCCCCCCAGTCCAGAGACCCTTCATCCAAAGACTCCCTGCCCCAGCCTGAAGAACCCTAACCCAAATGTCCCATAGACCCTCCCCAAGGACCTACCTTCCCAATGTCCTCCTTAGGGACTTCCTCCACCCATATTCCCCTAGAGACCCTCCAAGCCCACATAGCCCATCCCAAGGCCACCCAAAGACCCTACCCCAGAACACCCCCAGCCCAAGCCCCCTGGGGCCCTTCAGCACTGGGGTCCCCCTGACCTTCTCGCTCCCAGCCAGGTCAACCAGGTAGAGCTTCCCACTGAGCTTCTGCTCTGTTTCCACGTTCTCCTGCTTGATGTTGATGAGGAAGATGCTGTGGCTGCGGGAGCTGTGCTCGTTCATGTCTGTGGGCACAGGGAGAGGACGCCTGTGCCTCTGACCCCTGGGGTTATCCCAACATCCCTCCGGGACCATTGCAGCACCCCACAATGCCCCAGAGACCCGACAGTGCCCCAGGGTCCCCCACTGCACTCCAGGGACCCTGCAATTCCTTAGTGACTCTGTGGTATCTCAGTGGCCTCTCAGTGACCTGACCCCACAGTGTGCCAGGGAGCCCCATGGTGTCCCAATGACTCCTACAGCACCCCAGGGGCCCTATGCCACCCCAGGGACCTCCACAGTGCTCCAAGGACACCATGATGCCCCAGGGACCCCCCATAGTGGCCCAGAACCTCCCAGCACCCCGAGACACCACAGTAGTCTGCACAGCAGGGACTGGCACCCCACAGTCCTCTACCTCACTTTTCCCCCCCATCACCCAGCCCCCCCCGCCCCATGCCCCGAGGGGGATCACTGGTGACAGCCACATGCCGGTTGGATTTCCCCTCGTCGATCACGTCCAAGATCTCCTCTGGGCTGGAGACAAAGCGCTCGGTGCAGCCCTGGGGGTGCAGTGAGGGGTGAGGCCCCAGCCCTTCCTTCAGCGGTCCCCCGTACAACGGACCCTCCAAACTGATCCTCACCTTGACGTAGGGAACCCTATTCTTGTCCTCGTGCACTGATAGGTTGGTCTTGGTCACTGTTGGGGGGGACACAGGGTGAGGGGACTGGGGGCGTGGTGATCCCCCAACATGCCCAAGAACTCCCAGTACCATCCAGTGCCTTCCAGTGCTCTCCCACGTCCTTCCATTGATTCCCAGTGCTCCCCAGAACCCATCTACTGCCTCCAAGCTTCTCAGTGCTCCCAGTGCATCCCAATACCTACCCAGTATCTACCAATGACCCCCTACTTACTGTCCAGCAGGTCCCGGATCTTGTCCAGATAAATTTCAAAGTAAGAAACCTAGTAGAAGGGAATTGGGAGTGTTGGGGGCTGGGGGCAGTGGTGCGTCAGGACATGATTTCCCAATACTCCCACTGCTCCCAGTCCCTCCCTGTCCCCACCTTGATGTGGAACTCAAGGTTCTCATCCATGGAGTAGATGTGGCTGAAGATGTCCTGAGCGATGCGTGGGATGATGCCCATCTGCTGGGGGTCGTGCAGCTTGCCCTGGGGGGTGTGTGGTGGTGATCACTCAAGGGGGTGCTAGGTCCCAGGGGGACCTACCCCCAAGTCCCCCCACCAAAGTGCCCCCCTGGCCTCCTCACCTCCATGGTGTGGGTCTTGCCTGATGACGTCTGCCCGTAGGCAAAGATGGTACCATTATACCCGGCCAGCACATCTGTGAGGAGGGGTGAGAGTGGGTAGAAGCCTCTCTGGGACCCCCAGGAACCCCCGTGGACTCTCAGGTTCCTCAGGGACCTCATACACCCCCTCAAACCCCGAGGGACTCCTCTGAGGTTCCCAAGGGCTTCCTGAACTCCTGGGCTTCTGAGATGCCCTCCAAGACCCACAGTGAGGCTCAGGGACCCCTGAGACACCCCAAAGGACCTCACAGATACCCTCAGAATCCCTAGAGATTGCAGTGACCCCTTCAAAGTCCTGCAGACACCCCTAAGGACCACCTGTATGTCCCCTCCTGCCAGTGGCACCCCCCAGCCTACCCCTGTCACCTCCCAGCACCCTCTATGACTCTGGGTATCCCTGTGGCTCTGGGTGTCCCTGGAGGAGGGTCCCCCAACTAGGATCCCCCCGGGAGCCCCCTCAGGACCTCCCCCAAGCCCCTGGCCCTCACCCTTGACGATCTGCATGGCACAGGCGTGGTAGACCTGCTCCTGGGTGGTGTTGGGGGGGAAGACACGGTCGAAGACATAGGGCTTGCCCTGGGCAGGGTACACGGGGGTCAATGGCCAGGAGAGATCCGCACAGGGCGCCGGGGGCTGTGCCAGCCTCAG